ATTAATCACATTAGTCACTTGCACATATGACTTACATTTCACTGCTGGTCATATATTCTCTATATAACCATGAATGTGACAAATAAAAAATCTTGAATCTTGAATCACATTGATTTAAATACGATAATCTTGAACCATATTGATAGAAAAATACATAGAGGAAGAAAAAATTCCATTTGTTATTAACAAAGTGCATTAAACATTATATTACATCAAGGTTTCCCAAACTGAAGTAATCAGTTACATTAATAAAGTAATTGAAATAGTTACACTACTATTACATTTTAAATAGAGTAACTTGTAATCTGTAACCGATTACATTTCCAAAGTAACCTTCCCAGCACTGTACACTATTGAATTATAAGGCTGTGACTCAATAAATCCATGTGAATATCTGTCTCTGCTCATTTTTTTTAATATAACTTTACAATCGATATTGATGTCCTTCAGCACAGTATTCTGAATGATGATAATTTGTTTGAGCTGTGTCCTCTACATTTTCTTCAGCCTGAGGCGTATTCGTTTCACTTGTGATGTGAAAGGGCTTTTACATTTGTAAAATAAATTTTTTTATATTAAAAACAAACAAGCAAGCCCTGCCCAGATTGAAAAAGTAACTCAAAAGTAACTAACACATTACTTTCCATAAAAAGTAACTAAATGTAATTAGTTACTCTGTTCATTTAAATTACTAATAAAATGCTTTTTTAAAAAACACTTTAATGATTAACAACCCTACCGTTCCTGTTTATCTATAGATTCATAAATCTGTCCTGCACTGAAATATGAAAATAGTTCAGTAGAGCTGTGTGAGGATATAAGAACTGAATGGCATTGTGATGTTTCAGCACAAAACTCACTGTAAACGTCTTCCTTAGTTTTGGTCCATGTTCCTAAAACCCCAGCATCAGCATAAACAACTGAGAGAATCTAAAAACCAAACAAAGTTCTGAACCGGGCTGAGGAATAAACAGACATTTGATTAAAAAATATGTTTAATGCCACTTTTTGTGCTCCAGCAGAACATTCAGAACTGAACTTGCGTAGAGTTTATGGCTTCATGAGAAACGCGGCTGATCTCTTTACCGTGAGATCAAACACGAGAGACAGATCGTCAGAGTAAAACACATCAGACTGATTCGATACGACAGTATTTAGAAACTCATCCTTCACTAGTTTATCATTTATACAGAAACATACAGTACTGGATTCTTCAACCGTTCACCAGATATAAAATCCATGTAATAATGAAAGAAAAGTAAACACCTGAAAACAAACAACCGCACAGATAAAACCATTATGAAGTGAGACGCACGCAGACGAAGGTCTGAGAGAGGCACAGTTCATCTGAAACGCCAGAAATCAAATCTGTGTCAGACACGTTTCTGCTGATGATCACAGACCGGCGCTTGAGCTGGCTGCAGGGGTCAGAGGTCAGAGGTGTGTCGTGATGAGGCTCATTCATGTTTTTCTCCTTCACCATAGAGTTTCCGCAGACACCAGGGTTTCAACAGACATGAACAAGTTAAATTTAAGACTTTTTAAGACCTTTTTAATACCACCTTATATGAAATTTAAGACCTGAACCTGTAATGATAATACACATTATATTACATACATATTAGGGCTGTCAAAATGGCTGAAAAACTCTATTCGAATTTTGTGCTTAAATATGATCAAAATTCTAATTATATTCTAATTTAAAAGGCATAATAACATATCCATCCGTGAAAAAAAGTGCATAATGTTTAAAATAATGTTTATAAACCAATTACAATTAATTAAGTTGCTTAAACAACTATAAACAAAACAGCATCATGTATGTATGCATAGTTTAATACAAAGTTCCGAAAATCAATCACACAGTGTACATTTTTCCATAAAGTCTCGAGATATGTTTTTTCAAAGTTAAACTTGTATTAATTTTCCATGGCTTTCTAAACATGCGGCTCTCTTGTGCGAGACGCGAGTGCAACGCTGATAGATGTCATGAAAATGCGATAAATCTGTGTTCTGTGTGAACGGCTTGGTTTCAGTTTTGACGTAAACAACATCTTCTCTGCACTGATGTTCTCTTTTTCTGCAATATTTGTAATGAACAACGCAGCAGCGCCGCTTCTAGTGGCTGGATAGACTAACAAAAGCATTATAATGCAACCACACCTACATCGTCATCGCATCTCGTGCGCCGCTGATAAAGCTGCCTTCTTATCGCACACCTAAAATGAGAATGCAACGTTTTTGCATTCGAATGTGGATTTTTATTTTAAATTCGACAAATATTCGAAATTCGATTTTTTTTTTTGACAGCCCTAATTCATATATGTAATATTTAATGTGTTTAACGTAAAAAGAAAACAAAATATCATCACTGTATTGTAACAAGATATACAGTGAACTTTTCATATCAGAAGACAATATTCCATGCAAAATATCCCCACAAAAGCACCGCATCAAGATTTTTGGTGCAAACAATTAATTCTGAAGCAATATTTTCATCAGTGTTCTATCAGCTTTGACATACTTACATCTGCATATTTTTATTTAGCTTTACAAAGGCCTATTTTTACAAATGCATAAATAATGTTTTGAAATATTAAACAAAACGTTGAATACTGATATTTGAAATTATTTAAATAATAAAAAGGTACTTAAAATGTGAAATTAACACCGCCAGTAGGTGGCAGCAAGTCACTGTTAAGTGAGTCATTGCGATTGAAGCGAATCATTTAAACAGTCGATTCATTCAGGATGAAACACCGTCATGTTAATCAGAGACGCAAAACAGCGCTGTGGCTGTGTTTGGAATTATTTTTGTTGTCGAAATACTGCAAAAACAGGCAATATGGTGTCTAAAACGTAAGTCTCTTAATTTACTTGTTTTTTATTAAAAAACAATATCACATTTGTAATCATGGTCATTTTTGGAGAAAAAAATTGACTCTTCATTTGAAATTGATTAACTATATGAAGTGGTATAAATATATAAATTTTCTACCCCCATGTCTTGAATTTTGTGATCATAGACTGAATCATGCAGTGAAAGAGCGCGCTAGACTTCACGTAATGCGTGCACTCTGTAGGTGTTTTGAATGTTTTTTTGCGTTGTGAGAATATTGAGCAAAATAGCTCACTTGTCATGGTGTTATTTAAATATATCATGTTATGAATAAACTAAACATTTTGAATTTTTACCTCAGTGTGTTTCTTCTGAGTTT